CTACAAATCCACTGCTGGTGTTCACTTCTTGCCTTCACTTCTGTGCTGCATGCTGATGTTGATGGTGTCTGTGTTACCATAAAATATGTATCTGGTCTTTGTTCTTGGTTCCTAGCACGGGACTTCAAAACCCTTTGGCTCTCCTAAGAGGAACTGCTTTCTTCCCCTAATGATGTGGCATTTGGTAGGACTTTAATAGCTCCTGGATGAGAGTTGGTCAGCAGGAAGACCGAGAATGTGGTTAAAGTATTGGCACTTGAGCCATGCTGACCTCCTGGGAGGAGCTATGGGTTGGAGACAAAGTACAGTCACATGGCCAATGAGTTTGCCAATCAAACCTGTGTGATCACACTTTGACTCTGGACTCCAAGGATCAGTGGAGATCCTGGTGGAACATACTGAAAAACATGGAAAGCGATGGACCCCGACTGTATGGGGAGAGTGTATGGGATCTCTGTGCTTCCTCCTAAACCTGACATTAAATAAACCCTTTATACTAAAAGTACAGTTGTAGGGATAACACTATCTTAAATTTTTTGAATTATTCAGTAGAATTATTGAACCTGATAGTGTTATGGGAGCCTTCAAAATCATAAGCAGTCTATCACAAGTGCAGGTGGTCTGGTGATCATCAAGTTAAGGCTGGTGTCTGGAGTTAAAGCAGTCACTTGCAACACTAAGTCCTTACCCTGTGAGTTCTCTGCTAGCTGCAGGGGTTAAGTGTCAGAATTGTACTGCTGTACACCCAGTGGTATCACACAAGTAGAGTTGGTACAGATAGAACATTAAGAACCCTCATGACAATGTATATTTAAGATCTGAGAAAGCATAATGTTTTTCTAGGCATGAAAGAGTTTTATAAGAAGACATTTGAAATAGATACCTAAAAGATAATCAATTCACATAGTTATTATATATATACATATATATATTCAAGATTTTGTTTCAAATAAATAATAAAGTGTGTTTGTGAAATATGCTCAGTAAATACACACTTTATATACATAAAGTATATGTATATGAAAGGCAGATACAGCATATATGCATGTGTAAAATACACTTTCTCTTTGTGCATAAAGTTTCTGTCATTAGAAATTGGCCCTTTAGCAAACAGCTACCTTTATTTGACAATCCGAGTATCTTAGAGGAATAAAATAGGAATCAGCAGATGAGAATAAACATGTTCAAATGGACACAGAGTAGGTTTCCTCAAGACCAGAATAACTGCTCACTCTCTCTGACATCTTAGACTTATCTCTTATCTGCATTCCATTAAAATAATACAGAATGTTATACCCCAAAAGAATAATTAAGTATGTGAAAATGCTTATACCTGATAAACAAAAACACTGACATATTTTTAAGGATTAGTGGAGAAAGATATTGTTATCTTCCAAATTTACAGGTCCCTCAGATGGGTAATCTCAAGGACAACAAATCCTTATTGTACAACATAAATATTCAGAGCAATGGAAAGAAAAGCAAAATGACAGATGCTACACCCAAACATTGCTTACAAAAAGGGCACCAGTTTGGCACTGAACTGCTCCCTAGGTTATTTCAAAGAGGAAGACTTTGCAAAGAAAGCAGGAAATATCAAGTTAATTAGTGTAGAGATAAAGTCAAGCCACTTAGTAATCTGAGCAATAAAGTAGAATCTAGGGACTCATTGCTTCCATTTCTCCATCTGTCAGATAATTAAAGCTATTTACCCTCTTCTGAGAGGGTTAAGAAAGATTAGTTAATTTCCTAAAGTATGTTGAAAGCAAAAGCTCTTCTTGTTTTCAATAAGTCTATTCCTTCCATTTACTACATTAGGCATTCGTGTAAGTCAGCCCTAGAAACCAACAGGTTCTACTACAGCAACCCAAGTATCTTTAATAGGAAATGGACAAAAAAATGATAGCAAGAGAATTAGGCTACCACACTCCTCAAAGAAACTCTCTTGGTCTTCATTAGAGGCACTAAAATTTTATTTTATTCATCATCCATTATGGAATGTCCTGTATGTACTAAATTCTGTAATGCACTAAGGAAGCATCCTTGATTAAATAAAGATCTAACCATTTTTATTAGTATTTACTTTATATAAGGCTATGTGTTAATTTAATTACATGCATTAATTCATTTCACCTGTAAAATTATAATTATTGGAATTATTTTATTATTTCCATTTTGTAAATTAGGAAATGGAGGCTCAGTGTGTTTGCTTTGTCTGAAATTATGTACCTAAGAGGCAGCAGAGCCAAAATAAAGAGCCTGTAGTTTGTGGTCATAGTTACTTATTGTCCACACATGCCTAAATATAATGTCTACTAATGCTACATAATGTATTTGCCTGCAATAATTTCATTTTAGACAAAGGTATATCCTGATGGAAATGGGTTTAGTACTAGAAAATGAGTACCACTCCTTAGAGACAGGGGTCATATTTTACTCTAGTTTTGGTTTAGATCAAGTAACATTTTAGTTTTATACCTATAAAGTAAGAAGAGTAGCCTTAAGAATGTCCTGAGTTTCTCCTTGTTTTGAGGTCATTCTCCTACAAGCAAAAGTTAATTTCTATGTGAAATAATTTTGCACCTTAGTCTGGCATTATTGTGGTATCCCTAATACATTCTAAAGGCCAACTAAGTAGTTTAAATTTAGAGGATTAAAAAAAATTTTCCACATTTTTCCCTCTAAGAAAATCTGATTTTAAGTCCCATTTCAAATGTGTGCAGAGTTATTGCTATTACCTACTATGAAATTAGGTACTTCTTTGTTTATTGATCTTCAGAATATAAGTTTCTGAGGGCAAAGAATACATTTATATTGCTTCATGCTATACTCAGAGCACCAAAAATAGTACCCTATTCCCCAGAAAAAATGAATATATATTCATTGCATTTCCCAGAATAGTGCCCAGGAGATAATAAATACATGTGGAATGAATAAATGTTTGAAAGATCATTGCTAAAAGGATTTAATGACAAGAAAAAAGTATTACCTAAGCCGTCTACATAGTGCACAGAAAGAAAAAATGACATACACAACTTCATCCCCTTAATAGAGTGTACTCACTCCTACATTTTGACTGATATCTTGTTCTCCAGACATACTACTTGAAGTTTGAGAACATAGGTAACATCTACAGCTGCTCCTGGTAGAAATCCAACAGTGATCATCTAAAGTTTAAGATAAACTCATCTGTTGTTCCAGTATCTTACACTTAAAAGAACAAAAGAAACATTTTTTTCCCAAAAAGTATAAGAATTCCCTGTTTCCCTCTGATAGATACAGACACATACATACACAATGTCGTATCCATTCATATATATATACACACTCCATGCCATCCACCCAGTAAATACCTTCCCCATCACTCTGTGTGTGTGTGTGTGTGTGTGTGTGTGTGTGTGTGTGTGTGTGCGCCTGTCTGTCTGTCTGTCCTGGGTGGCATTCAATTAAGCGAACTGAGCTTTAGTTGCCTCATAGAAAAATTTAAATTATTTGAATTTCCTGAAGTCTCCAAGTGGGAGTAATGAGCAGTATTCTGTGCGTCCCTTGAAAATCAGAGCTAAATGATTCAGCAATTTACTTGATTCCCATTGTTGAACAACAGTGAAGAAGCCTCACTTTTCTAGACAGGCCCCGGTATTCAAGTAAGGCTTCTCAACGCGACTCTCTGTTAACTTTCATAGTTCTCACTTGAGCATGATAACTAGCAAGCCTTTGAGGTTACTTGAACAAATTCATTGCTTTTCCTTGAGAAATCAGGGATATAAGGGGTCAAAATTACATGTGATCCTGTTGAATGTCCACATTTATAGATTATTGCAACTGACAACATCGGCAAATACATGATAAGACCTAACTGAAAGCTCAGTAAGTGCCAATTAGCAGTTGATATTTATCACTGATTATCCTGTTTAAACCTTCCAAGAAAATCATTTATAGCAGAGCAAAGTAAGGTATAGAATAATTTTCAAGTGTGTAAGGAAGTAGACTAGGAAATAGTGGGTCCAAGTTAAACAAAGAGGGTATAACTAAATCTTCCAAAAAAATCAAAATATTATAGATAGAATAGGAAACATGGCAAATTTAAGATTAAATGAGGCACTGTGTCAATTTACCATTTATGTGCTAATGGTATGCCCATAAGTAGTCATGGGCAAGGTGAATTCGAGGGTTTGGACCTAGATCCCGATCAGAAACAGCATCAGTTCCTTTACTTTATGGCTTAAAAAACTATAAAAACACAAATTCAATATATTCTTCCATTCTACATGTGAGAGCACAGATTATAGAAGCAGCAAAGTGATAATGTGTGACTACTCAGAGTTTGATAATTGCAGTACATGTCAGGAAAGAGCATTAGTACATTATGCTAAGCAAAAAGTTCACATGAAGTACAAAGCAGCAGAAAGAGCTGTTGTCATTCACAGCCCCTAGAATTATTTGAAGTTTTTAAACTTAGTCTGCACCAAACTGTAAAAACACTCATTGCAGACATTAAATGGCTTGCTGTAAGTTATTTATATCGATTTTACTCCAAATATATTTTTTAAAAGGTGAAGCATATCAGAAACAAAGTGTGGGATTTTGCTCTTCTCTGTAGCAACTCCTGTCCTGCACATGAATGATTTAATGAGAAAATGGGACTGTGGAAGTGAGCACAAATCCAAAAGGGAGCAGACACTGCCTAAACAGTCATTTCTTGATACCTGGAGCAAAGGGAAAGTCCAGAATGACCTGGCATAAATATACCAGGAAGCACTCCATAATGTGCTTTGCAGCCATGTGCAAAGGTTTCTTTGTAATGTGATGAGTTTGATGAAAATAATAAACAGCTTATATCAAATGGTGGAAATAGTGTCTTATGGTTCTGCTACCTGCTGTGGTGTCATTTTTTGTCACCAAAGAAACCTAAAGAATGTTTAAGTTCCATAAGAAGGCCTTTATCAAAATAAATAAATAAATAAATTAATTAATTAATTAAAATAAAATTTTAGAAAAGGTGTGATATGGCTCAGTGGCACAGCATCTGCCTGGCAAGCAGAAGGTCCTGAGTTCAATTCCCAGTACCAAAAAAAAGGCCTTTAACTGTCAACATTTAAGAAATTCTTTCATTGTTGTATCATATTATAATGGCTTTTTGGTAAATTATTACTGGGACCACAAATAAATCCTTTTGGCAACTATGAATCTGCATAATTTCCTCTACCCCTAAGCTGAAAGTTTTGTACAAATTGATTAGAACATAAGACAAATTCCAAGGATGATCCAAAATAGAAAACATGCAATATCAGCACGTTAAGACAAATAGATCATGACAGCTACATCGAGTATATTACTCACACTAAGGCACATGTTTAAGGTCCATGTCAGTGTGTCTTCTTTATTCTATTTCAGTCTTCACAAACTTTTCTTAAGCAATTCTTGGAACAACTTTGAAGTAGGGTCCCCTAATTGTCTGAGATTCTTCTGTTTTTTGTTAATAGTGGGGATTAATCTGAGGACTTTACACATGCTACATAGCACCCTACCACTGAATTACACCTCTAGTCCTACTTTAAGATATTTTAAGCAGCTAAGTTCATTTTCTTAAGCACTTCAAAGACTCATTGCTGATTTACGATAGCAATCCGTGTATAATAGAATACTTCTAAATCCTACTTTTACCGCTCTCTCTTTTTTATTTTATTTGTTATCAGACGTTCTTCCTTGTTTCAGTTCCTTAAAGATTATAAGTGGCACTGGGCATGGTGGCACATGCCTGTCATTCTAACACCGGAGAGACTGAGGCAGGATGATCTCTGTAAGTGCAAGGCCAGCCTGGGCTACATAGTGAGTTCAAGGCCAGTCTGAACTGTATAGTGAGACTCTGTCTCAAAAAAAAAAAAAAAAAAAGATAATAAATGGAAAAAATAAGGGTTTCATGGATAGAAGCTCATGACATCCAATCCTTTATCCTTGTTCTGAGAAGAGTAACAACTCTCTCTGCCACTCTCAGGGAACTTGTGTCTACTGACATCACAGGAGCCAATCCAGTGTCAAGATGTTAGGCAGGAGTATGAGCTGTCAGTTTGTGAAGGTTTTCAGCTTTGAAAGAGGAGTTGGAAGTTTCTAGGGGCATCATTATGGAGACTATTCATACATTTTGAATGAGCACCATGTTCTAGAAAGTCTTCTTAATTCACATATGCACTGTTGTATCCATTTCTCACACCTGATTCCCCTGTCACAGCTGCCTAAGAGGTCAATATCTATAGAATGGTCTCTCCTCAGTCCACATTTTTGTAATTAATCTGTCCTTGTTGCTGCCCACTGTCCACCAAAAATAAGACCAAAGAATCCCCCCCACACACACAAGCTGCCATTTTCATGTCAACTTTCTCAATTTCTTATCACATTATTTTTGAAACTATAATCTTTATAATTTATTTTTAATTTAATATTAATTGTTTACCTTTGACATCTGTTGTTACTGTAATCAGACCTATCTTCCAACATTTTCTTAAATATAACTTCCTAACAACCAACTCAACTTATGGGTATCTTCCTCTTTCTCTGACTATTAACACACAAGGTCATCAAACATACAGCTAAGTTTTTAAACTATTGAGCCTTTTCCTGACAATCAAGTCCCTCCTTGATGTGTAAAGTATGTGACTGAAGGCTTTTATGGACTGGTAGTGGTCTGTCACTTATTGCTTCCAGCTTTAATTGTCTTGTGGGTAAATTCCCCAAAATCGCTGCTGAAAGAGAAGACATAATATACACAAACCTGCTGATTCTTTCACAACTCCTAGTCAGCACTTTTGTTGAACAAATATAATTACATAAGAAAGAATATCTTCTTACAGTAGATTTAGAGAATTATGTGAGAAACACAAACAGCCTTAAAAGAAATTAGATATACAAAACACTCTATTATATGAAACTTGCAGTTGATGCAAAAAATTGCATAACATCAGAAGTCTACACTTTCATACCTTTCTCATTGATTTTATGACTTGATGTTTTATTTATAATATTTATTTATCCTATTTTCTCTCCTATAGATTTTTTGCTATCTCTGGTACAATTGAATATTGCATAGTGTTTGAAACAAAATAACTCTACCAAATGAAATTGGAATTTCCCCAAAGATATACTTTTTCTTGAAACCAGTAGAAAACTGAAAAGGTAAACCAAAAGTAATAGAAGGTGCACAGACAATATTTATAATTGCCATTTGCTTTTGTTTGGTGGAATGCTGCCCTGCCCCTTCTGAGTTAGAACAGTACAACCTGGTAAGTAGAAGGTCTTTGCTTTTAAGACAACTATGCATGCACAATGAAACACACTCTGGCAAGAATTTGTCTTTGCCAAAATAGAGAGTGTAGACCACTTAGAAAAGTCTTAACTAAATTATTTTCACAAACTCCTATTCCATGCTCTATGTATCCCTGTCAGAAACAGTTTTGAATCCTTAAGTCCTTGGGCCCAAAAGATAGGGATGCTGGAGGGCAGTCATCTGATCCTGCAGTTCCTGCTATTCTTATTGACATTAATGGTGCATCTATGACATCAGCAAAGCTATGAGATTTCCTGTGACTTGCAATGGTTTTTCTAAGTAGAAATCATGAACAGAAGCATTCACTCAACAATCCTCATTTTATTTTTAAATAGAGAAGTGTAACCGAGAATTCTCTGAGGCCACACATTTAGATGACCATGAGCCACTATCATAACAAAGGTAGCCATTTTAAGGAGAGGACACTTATTCTAGGTAACCACCCACTTACAGTCAGTGTACCATTTATGTAATTTTCATATTGTATCCAAATCTCAAATTATTAACATTCTAAAACATTTCAGGTTCCTTCTTACAAATGTTTTGGTTTGATATTTTGATGTTTTAATTTGTCTCTTCAAGGCATATTCGAGTCAATTGGCCTTGGCAATCAGTTCCATAGATTGCCCTGACTCTAAAAATCATGACAGAAAGGAAGAGATGTCTTTTTCTTCCAGCATGAGTCCCCTCTATGGGATATCACAGCCCTATGGCCCAGGGATGGAGGAAAGGAGCTGAACTTACAGGACTGACAAAAAACTTGCATAAATTTTCACTAATCTTGTCTTCCCAGCATCATAGGTAACTAAATATTGTCATTTTCAGTTTGTAGATATGAAAAGTGAGGTTCAAAAATGCTGCCTGTTTCTTTTATATGAGGAAACTAAAATATAAATAAATGCAAAAGAAAAGATAAACTAAAGGAATAGATAGACCCTTTGCCAATAGGAAGAGAACTAGGAGAGGGAGGCAGTGGGAATGGAGAAAAGCAAATGAAAAAATGTTTGAGATGTGTTATTGTATGTGCACCAACTGCCCATGAGGAATGTAATCATTGCGTACTGCAGACATGTACTAAGAAAAAATAAAAATTAAAAAAAAGTGCTGCCTGTTTTCTCTCAGGATACAGTTAAAGTATTGGAGAACTCAGCTCTCTTAAGCTGCAAAATTTACTTGTTTATTTCAGTTTCTTTCTTTCGCTTTTTCTTTTTTTTTTTTTTGGCAGTACTAGTGATGGAACCCAGGGTCTGGTGCATTAGGCAGTCCCTTACCACAAAACCACATACACAGCACTTTTAGAATTTTTTTAAACTCAAGCTAGAAATTCCATTCAACTCAATTATTCCCCTTCTAGTTATTTCTCCAAAAAGTTTAAGACATCATATTATAGTGACATATGCATGCCCATGTTTAAAGAATCATAATTCATAACAGCTAAATTTAGAAATAGCCTATATGCCCATCAATAGATGAATGGATAAAGAAAATGTGATATTTACACAACAGAATACTACTCCGTCATGAAGAAGAATGAACTTGAGTCAGTCATAGGAAAATAGATGTACCTTGAGAATGTACTGTTAAGAGAAATAAATCAGCCACGCAAGTTTAAAATTTTCACGATTTCTCTCATATGAGAAATCCAAAATATAAATAAAGAGCAAAATAAAATATACAATAGGAAGCAGGAAAATACTTCTCTCTCAAATGGGAAGGAGATCAAAAGATGGTGGGGACTTAGATGAGGGAAAGGAGATCTTTAAAAATTCAGGTATGTTGTGTGCGTGTACCAACTCCTCACGAGGATTATAATCATTATGTACTGCAAAAATGTACTAACAGAAATAAAACTAAAAAAAAATTATTTTGAGACAGGGCATCCCTGAGTTGTTCAGACTGGCCCCAAACTTGTGATCCTCCTATCTCAGTCTACTGTTCAGCTGGGGTTACAGAGTTTTGCCCCCACATCCAAATTTTATCCTGCTTCTTCTGTAAGTGTTGGACATTGTCAGCTAGCTAGTAAAGTATTTTCATATCAGGACCAATAATTATTTCACATTTAAATTAACACAATTTTCTTCATCTTTAAAACAGGTAGATAAGGTTTCATTTGTATATTAAGGATAAAGAATTAATTTTATTATCCCTAATTTTAAGGATATAAAATCGTTACAATACAATGATAAGACACCTGCCCTAGAAAGCTTTCATCTTTTGAAATATGCAGTTTCATTTTTGCACTCAGGCCTTTAGAACACAGAGCATTGACTTATAAAAGTATTGAAATTTTTTCTTCTATGTACCAGCTTTTCAAGGAACAAAGACATTTAAAAGTTTGCCTTTCTTTTTCCTCCAACTGTGCATCTCAAATACCCAGAACCAGAAAGTTTTCTGCTTTACTAAAAATAAACATACACTTTTCTTGGTTATCAAACTAGAAGAAGGTCATGACTATTATAAGTAACTTTTGATTAGGGTAAAAAATTGACTATAATCCAGCATAGGAGGTGTATAATATCTTAAGAGGTAGCTCAAGACACATTTAATATAATCATCACATTAAAAACTTGGTAAGTTAATTCAAAGAAGTATTTGTTGGCTAGGGGTAAGGTAGAGATATTTCCCACAATGTTTACTTTTTTTTGGTACCAGGAATCAAACTCAGGACCTTGCACTTGCCAGGCAAGCACTTGTACCACTGAGCTATCTCCCCAGCCACAAAGTTTAAAATCTCAGAAAGATTATTTAATC